ATATATATATATATATATATATATATACGTTGCTTTCTGGTCGTGTTAATGATGACATTCATCCTGCTTGTATTATGTTTAATAAAAATATATGCTGAAGAAAGAGAATGCATCAACACCGTTCATTATCGCTCATTCCAAACACAACGGGGCAATACACAATAAATAGGACCAAATCGCCCCACAAAGCACTGGAGAAATAGGCGTTTGTGTGTATGCGTTCGTGTTGGACTTGCCCTGCGTTCCTTTTCCATCATCCCCTTCCCCCCCTACAGCGTGAGTGCCTGCAGCCGGACCTTGGAGCGCTTGCCTACCTGCGCACTGTACGTAGCGGATCCGACGGCCTGCACGGAGCGTGTGGCAGTGCACCAATTGCAGCGTAGCTCCATGCGACGCCCCTCCTTCGTGAGTGTCGTGTCGATCTTGTGGCACGAGTTGCACTTGACGTATTCATCGAGGTACCTGATAAGAATCTTGTCAAACGCCGTTGCCTTCTGAATTTCGTACTTGAGGATGAGGGCATCGTTGCTGTCAAGGTTTCCACCTACAGAGAGCTCCTTCTCAATGTAGTCCTTCACATCCTCAATGGGACGGTGGAAGGCCTGGCAGATGCGGCCAAAGTTCGTGATGATGACTTTCTTCTTACCAATCTTCTCAAGCTGCGGCACCGGCAGCTGGTTGCGCTCTGACATGGCGCTGCTCTCCTTGTTGCGGTTGAGGGCGACGAAAAGACGCTGCAACATGACGCTGTACTTGTACCCGCCCATCTCCTCCGCCGTTCCGCCACTGCTGCTGCTGCCACCCGTACGGGCAGTGACGGTGGCATCGAGGAACCGCTCCACCTGCGGCGCCTGCTGCTGCTTGCGTCGCAGCTGCTCGTGCTCCGCCATACGCTTCTCCACCTCCTGCCGGGTGTGGCGCTTCAGCAGCGCATACAGGTCCTCCGAGGTATAGCTGTCGTATGCTATCTCAAATATGTCCTCCGCCGCACCTGTGGCACCCTGGAGCCCAGCCACCGCAGCTCCTGCACCACTATCACCGCCAGCTGCCGCTGCCGCTGTTGCTGTTGCGACTGAAGACGGCGGCACTGCAGGAGCGCCCATCGCGACGGGGTCAGCGTGGGTCGAAGGCTGCGTGTCGGGCGCGGCGTCCATTGCCTTTGGGGCCTTGCGACGCGTGACCTTCTGCTGCTCGAGCTGCTGTTCCTGCTCCTCATTCTCGTCGTCGTCGTCTGTCCTGCGGCGGCGGTTGCGAAGCCTGCCACCTGTGGACTTCTCTGGGGCCTCACTCATCGCTCTTACTTTTTTTCCCTTTGGCTGTTTTGGCACTTACGCCATTCAACATCATGATGATAACGACAGCATCACGCAGGAAAGAAAAAGGAAAGAAAAAAAGGTGAGCGCGCAAAGCAGAGAATGACCGCCTTGATGAATGCAGAAGCGGGTGGTGCACATGTACGGTTTACGCGAGTCTTGAGGGTATGGTCCAAGAGGCTGCGTGAGAACAGAAGAACACACCACATTGCTGATGTTCTATATATATATATATATTATAAGGTTTTTAAAAATCTTCTGCTTTGCTCCTTCAGTCTTCTTTTGCCTTCACCTTTTGACTAGCAACGCTGCATATATATATATATGTATATGTATGCTGTTGTTGCTCTGCCTCCCCCCAGCCGGCAGCCGCCACGCCACGCCACGCCCGCCGAACCTATATATATATATATAT